AGTTTCCTGTGTGGTTTCAGTTACATCATTCTTTGTATCATTTCTGTATTCTATGTGCAGAATTTTTATTTTATATAATCCCATTGAGTGTTTTTTTAAACTAAATTAATATGGCACAAATGAAGTGACCAACTATTGTGAAGTCATACACAGAACCATCAGCATGTTGCAGGTCTTGGGAGAGCTTCAGTGCTTGTCGTCTTAGCATTAATTCAAAGTGGAATGAAATATGAAGATGCAGTAAAGTTCACAAGACAAAAGTGGAGTGGAGATTTTAAAAGCAAGCAGCTTTGTATATCCAGCTGCACTTCATAGATACCAGTAGTCATAGAAACTACGGTTGCAGTCAGTAAAGCTGGGCTGCCTGATGTCTTAAGTTCCTTGGAAATGGAACTTTAGACAGGATGCAATTTATTGCACATATTAGCCAACATATAGACTTGGTGAATGAGGTCTAATGAAGCTTTCATAGAAGCGTTGATTAGCACTGTTATCAGGCCTCAAGCTTAGCAGAATTGCATCCTCTGCATTTGGATTATGATCAGCCTGTTTAGAAACTTAGCAAAAGATTCTTGCTATTCAGCATTTAAAGTGTGCTGATCATTTTTATCAATTGACCTTTCCTGAAACCATGCAGTATTGGGTTATAAGTCTTCTTCAGATCTATTCCCATGCCAGAATCTTATCAAATTGTAAGACATTTAGAGAGATTGTGTGCTGAAATACCCAGCAGGTTACTTGTATGTTTTTAATATTGTACAGAATTAAAACCCAGAAACTATCTTCTGTGATTTATCCCCTCAGTCATTTCAAACATTGATAGCAGAGTCTGCATGGCTATTTGCCTGCTACTCTGTCTTTGTCTCCCATATGTAAAACAGGACACATCAGATTCGTGTAACCACAGATTTTGTTGGCTTTTGACCAAGTCTTACAATGATTTTTTAATGTCTTTCTATAAATCTCATTTTGTGCCGTTATGAAAACCTCCATTTTGAAAATCACAAACCTCTAGCTGTAAAGTTCATGTAAAGTCCACGTTGTACAGAAGCTCGTATCTGTAATGTCTCCAGACAAAAATGTCTTAAAGTTAATTTAATGTTTGCACTTTAGGGTGCAACTTAAAAGAGAGGGCCTAAAAAAAGACTGGGAGTGAGCTGTTAAGTATTTTTAGCAAAACATTGTGCTTGTCTTGTGTAGAATATATGTAATGTGCCCTTTAGTCAATATTTTTTAAAGGTAGACATGATTTGTTGTAGATAAAGTTATTCTAAATCATAAAATTTCTGAAAATCCTTTTAATTTTTTCCCATTTTTATTGGAGGTTGTTTGCCAACTATTGTTGTTAGTTTTTTCCTTCTCTCCCAATCTTTCTTACAAAAAGAGAAGTTAGTTTCTGCTAATGAACCAGAAAAACTTCATATTTTTAATTCCTGTTGAGGTGTATAACTTAGTATTTGTATGCTTACAGTTTTTCTTGTTATGTGATTAATAAAATGCTGTGCTGTGCACTACGTTAGTTTAATCATGTATTTATACTATTTGGAATGTATGATTATGGTTCTTTGGGAGAAGTAATTTGTCACTGTACACCAGCTTGTAAAAACTTAGTGTGAGAGTTCAAAGATCTAAATAAATATTGGGGGGAAAAAAGGAAAAGAGTAATCAGTAAACACATGGAAATAGAATGTATAACTTCTCAAATAGAAGATGGAAAATGTGATATTTTAAAACTCAGTTCAGAAGAGGGCAAGAAAAGAGAAAAAAGATAAAGCAGGACAAAATAAGACATATGATTAAGTGGTAGCAGTAATTCCAAATCTATCAGTAATCATGAAATATAAATAGACTAAATTTTCTCCTTAAAAGGCAGGGATTGTTTAATTGAATAAACATTAAACCAAGCAATGTAGTATTTATGAATGAGACATTTTTAATTTGTGGGTATTGAATATTAAAAGTAAGAGGGTGACAAAAGGTATGCCAGGCAAATACTAAACAAAAGAAAGCTGAGGTTATTAAATTAATTTTAAAAAATGAACTTTAGTCCTGAAAGCTTTATTAAAGAAAGAAGGTCATCATGGAAGGATTAAAGACTAAATTTACCCAGAAGAGACAGCAATGCTAGATTGTGTTAAGCATTTATATATTTAGAATATATAAAACAAAAGTTGGGGGGGAAAGATTTTTTAAAATACTAGCACAGTGGGAAAACAAGCACAATCATTCTAACATTCCAAACTTACGGCCTGGGGTAAAACTTCCAAATAAGATATCCCGGAAGTATCTTATCTCAGACTGCTTAGATGGACTCAGAACATGGTTCTGGTAATGATGAAGATTCTGATGTTGAAAATGCATATGAGGAGTTGGAACAAAAGTGGTTCTTGAAACACAAGTGAGAGCAAACTTTCTAAATTAAAATTTCACATGATAATTTAAGTGTTTGTGTATAAACTGAATAGCACAAATAAGCATTTGATTATTTCATTGACATTATTAACAAGTTTAGTCAATTTGGGAGAGGGGAAATGTCTTATTGGTTAACTCCTTATGTTTAGATGTATATGCATTAAATCTAAATGTGATCAGCAATCAATTACAAAAAGAGATACAACTATAAATATTTATAATTCCTCAAAACAGTGAAACTGTGCTTCAAGTTTGAAGCATGGCGTGGTGGAGACGGAAGGACTGCAGACATACTGTGGTTCATCACTGTTGTAACAGACTCAGGCCTGCAACTCAGATCTTGTCTCCATCTGGCCCTGTTGTGTTTTATCAAAGCTGTATAATTGATACCAGTGTGTTGTTCATTATAATTACATATAAACTATACATTCAATATCAGTTCAGTTTTTACCATGAAGTCTACCTATCTGAAATTTTGCATTTGGTATTTAGAAATATACTAATGAAAAGTTTATAACAGTGAAAGTCTTAAGAAGAGGAAGGAATAATTTGGATAGCCCTGGGCCCTCTTAAAAGAAAGAAAGAAAGAAAAAAACCATAGAGAATTTTAAGAATGCCTCCTTTTCCTGCAGACAAATTTCTCTTTGCTAGGAAGAGACATTTAAAGCCAAGCCACTGATGGGTTTTTTTAAAGACAGCCATTGTAGGAGCCAAACACCAGACCCATCTGACATGAGACCTTCACCTGTGAAGATTTTGTGAGAAGGTCTCTTAATTGGATCTTTGGAGTAAACTTTTCTTTGTTTATTTTTTATTGAAGTGTAGTCAGTTTACAATGTTGTGTTATTGTGTACAGCATAGTGATTTAGTTATACATATATATTCCTTTTCATATTCTTTTTTATTGTAAGTTATTACAAGGTATTGAATAGAGTTCTCTGTGCCCTACAGTAGGACCTTGCTGTTTATCTATTTTATATATAGTAGTTAGTATCTGCAAATCCCAAACTCCCAATTTATCCTTCCACCCCCCACCCCCCACTAACCACGAGTTTGTTTTCTATGTCTGTGTGTGTCTGTTTTGTAAACAAGTTCATTTGTCTCATTTTTTTAGATTCCAAATATAGGTGATTTCATATGGTAGTTTTCTTTCTCTTTCTGGCTTACTTGACTTCATATGACAATCTCCAGGTCCAGCCATGTTGCTGCAAATGACATTATTTTACTCTTTTTTATGGCTGAGTACTTTTCTTTGCCCTTCTCCCTTTCTCTTCCTCTACCCAAAGGCATTACCTCCTTTTCTCTTCATCACTCCCAGTCCACCCTCCCCCCACCCGCCGCCACCCTTAACAAATTTAAATCAATACTAAAGAGCTGCTTGAGGAGGGGAAGAGAGAGGATTGTTGGTCATTGAGGGAAGTTAGTTATTGGCTAATTGTGTGTTTCATAGCTTCAAGGCTTTTGAAAAAATACCCACTAGCAGATGCAACTTTTCTTCACATTCTTCTGGCTCCTCAGTCACTGCACTTATTGCATCTTGTTGCAGAATCTGTGGGTAAAAGCCTTTAGAAATGATCTGAGAGCTTGGCAAAGGCAGACCACTTTAGAGTTAGCTAGTTCCAGATGGCCTTGAATCCGCTCCACCTGCTGACTGAGCAGCCCACTACGTCTTCTGACTTCCACGTAGCTCCCACTGCTATTGGATGGAAACAGTTACCTCGTCGGAATAATAACTGTGGGAGTGTGTGAAAGTGCTCGACACATGTTCAACTGCCTATAACTGGTAGTCATTCTTAGGAAGACTTTTACGATCATTTTTATGTTAATTATCTGGGTTTGATTGCCTTGAGCAGTGAAATCGAGATTCTGTGAAAAACAAAGCAGGGCTGGACTGTGTGGCCTGCTACCTGTTTGAGAGTTGTACCACATGGACGACTTTACTGCTCTGCTTATTTGGTAATCTTGAGAACACATACTTTTCTGTCTCCTGGTGCTTTGAAGGTCATCTTGAATTGATTCAGCTCTATATTGTTTAAACTTATCCCTTTTGTTAACCTGCATATTAATATTATGATTGTTAATATTTGAAAGGGTGCTTAGTCCAATAATTTTATAGTCAATGTAAGAAAATGTAAATTCTTAGAAGAAAAAATAACTTTAGTAACAAGAGAATTTAATAGATTTATTTTAATTCTCCTGTCTAGTTTGTATTAATTTTCCTGTAAATGTATCCAGATGTATATGTGGTACATATATTCTATAAACAAATTCTGGCAACTATTTGATAAATTATCTTCTGAAATTTTCTACCTTGGGACCTAATTCTATCCTGAAAGTATCAACCCTTTGCTTATAGCAGAAATATGTGAAATCAATGAGACCATGATATCAAGAATAAAAGCTGGTTTAGAGTAACAGATACTCTTAAGAAGTAATGTGAATTCTGCTTCTTTCTATTTTTCAACAGGCAATGTAGCTTGTTTTCTTAACCAGGAACAAATAAGTCCAGAAAAATTACGTGAGCCTTCTATCTTATTTAGTGGATGTTCTTGTTTGTTCTGAGTTCTCTTGTTTGCTTGTGTTTTCAGGCTCAGCTATGTGAACCATGCAGAGGATCTGGCCTCCAAGCTCCTACAATGTTCCCCAAAGAACAGACTATCAGCACAGGCAGCCTTGAGCCATGAATATTTTAGTGACCTGCCCCCACGGCTATGGGAGCTGACCGATAGTGAGTACGACAAATTGGAAAACATCTACTCAAAGCAGGGACATGATTTTAGCACCTGTGTGTAACACACATGTAGAGGGGTTCACATGTTTATATGTGCATCTGTAAGATTATGTATGTGTATGTATTACACGTATACATGTATGTGTGTATATTATTGTATATGTATGTATATGGAGAGAGAGAGAGAAATAGGGGTAGGGGAGGGGGGTAGTGTGCATATATATTTAGTGGAATCCAGCCATTCAATTTCTAGCTTGCCAGACATAGGAAGAAAATGGATTCCTTTTTTGCTATCTCTGCTCTGCAGTCTGCAGCTGCATGTCTTTGTATTTGATTATGTGTGTGTCCAAAAAAATGATGTGAGCCATCATAAAGAAAAAGGAAAATATGATTTACATATTTAGTGCTTTATGCATACAGTACTTTTTAACTGGCTGCATTACACAGAGTAGAAATGATTCATTTCTGTTTGATTTTCAGAGACCATCTTAGTTGTAACAATAACCTTAAAAAGGACTGCTATGCAGTGAGCTGACGAACAGGGTTGGCAGTTGGCTAATGCACAGAATTGACACGTACGAACAGAAGATGTGTAATTCAGTTTGACTGCAAATGCTCTTGGTATTCATACAGAGCTCTTCTCTGGGTCTTTTAAAACAAAACACATTCCTGGGTGGGTTTTTGTTTGTTTTTACAAAAGTGTTCATATTTACACAGCCTTTTCCAATTACATTTTAATTATTTTGCGGAGGATTTATGGCTGGGAGGATCTCATCTTTCTTCCAAAGTGTGAAACAAAACTCTTATGAAATTTTGGAAAACACTATTGCAGTAGACCATTTTTGTTCAGTGGTGGTACATTCTTTCCAAGTGCCAATGAGAGAGATTTCTTCTCTTACTTTTCTGTTTGCTTTAAAATTAATATATTGCATATATAGATAGATGTTTGTAATATGATTATTAATCCTCGAATATACATCACTTACCCTAGATATACATAAAAGTTATATCTTTAATCTCTTAGACTTTAGGCTTTTCCCTCCCATGGTTGTATTGAATTCTCCTTGATGACAATAACCCTTTATTCTGGAACGGAGTCCCAGGTAACAACTCTTGGGTATTTCTACCCTAAATCTTTTCTGATTTCATGCATTTAATGCTCATTACATTTTTTACCCTAAAGTGACTGTAGATACAGTAACCCACTACTCCCCTATACTTCAGAAATCTTCTTCAATATTTCATACATTCCCTGCCCATATCTATTCCATATTCTTCCCTACTTCCTTTCAAAAAGTCTACCCAGTGACCCTTAGTATAGCTATCCCCATTTAAAAACAAAATTAAAGATGAAATCCCTATAGAAAAGTAAGGGATTGGTGACACATCTTCCCATCCTGAGGGAAAAAAAAAAGATGCACATGGACCCATTAGTTTATGGCTCATCAAACTCAAACATATGGTTTGTTTTCCCATTTAGTATAACTTGTAACTTGATATCACTCTTCCTTGGTGACATCTCAATCCCATCTGACTTGATGATTGAGTTTAAGCCAGGATTTTGATGGTATATGAATTCTGAATTCTGTAGTAGTATTTTTCTGTTAATATGGACTTATTACCCACTTGCCACTTAGTTTATCAGCCAGTGGTTAAATCCAGTTTCTATCAGTAAGTAAATGCCTACACATTATCACCCGGCAGCAGGCTGCCAACGGAGACAGCCTTGTCCCCGTCATTAACAAGCACAATGTATGCAGAACACCAGAGGGGAATTAAAACCACAAAAAATACCTCAGGGTGGTATTTTTAATATGAGAATTTAATTTGTAATTTCACAGATTAAGAATTTTGGCTGCATTAATCCCTTTATCAGCTCACAGCAGGCTATTTGCAGAAGCATAACCATAAGGCGATATTCATTGGCAGAAACACGTCTTTGCATAACGTTAAACATCAGGAGCAGTGAAACCTTTTGAAGGGGGGAGAATAAAGATGAAAAATCATTATATTTTTAAAGTAAGATTCTGCTAAATGCCTCCGGTAACAATTTTGAGTTACAGAAATGCTATTTCTGTGTCTAGTAGATAATCATTATGAGGCATAAATCCAGTCGCAAGAAAGGACAATCTCAGTATTAAATACCACAGTCATTTCCATTTCGAACAACGTGGTAGTGCTTGCAAACATGTTTACAAAACAAAGAATTCCTAGGCTTTGGAGACTTGGGGAACTAGTTCTTCGAGGTGAAATGACTAGTTTGGGGGACTCTATTATCTAGGTTAATATTCTGCAGACTGTATTTAGAAGTTCTGGAAATTCTTAAAGTTAAATTTGACATTAGCATGGAGTCCTGTGTAAGCAGCAGCCGCAGTGCCAGGGTCCTCATACGCTTCCTTTTCAAGGAGATTTGGAAGGCGGTCCCTCTGAAAAGAAGTGTTACAGAATCAGTAAATGGATTGTCTTAGCAACCAAGTCATGGTTTAGATTTATCAGTTTCAGGAACCTCACATTAATACACAGTCTGCTCAGGCTGCAGTAACAAACACCATGGACTGGGGCTGAGACAGCAGACTTTTCTGTCTCACAATTCTGAAGGCTGCGAGGTCCAGGATCAAGGTGCTGGCAAAATCAAGGTTCCTGATAAGAGCCTCTTCCTGGCTTGCAGGCTGCCACCTCCCTGTATCCTCAGATGGCATTGAGAGAGAGAGAGAGAGTGACACACCTCTCTCTCTCTCTCCCTGCTGCCCCCTTCCTTTTCTTATAAAGCCACTAATCTCATCCTGAGAGCCACACCTTTATGACCTCATCTAACCCTACTACCCAAAGGCCCCATCTCCAATTACTATCACATTGGGGGTTAAGGCTTCAGCATATGAATTTCGGAGGGACACAATTAAGTCCATAGCAGTCACATTCTTAAAGATAGGTCATAGCATTTTTTTTTTAAGAAGAGTGTCCACAAGAAAAAACACTTATCCAAGCAGAAAGCAAACCCAGGTTAAAAGGAGAAGATTGGAACAAAAATAAGTTTAAAATGGACTTCAGCCTTCTTGGTCTACTTCAATATATCAGACCTTTCGAGCAGAGTGTCAAATATTATTAGAACCTTGGTTACATAGAGCACTGCAGTCATTCCATGGATTCATATAAAAATGAAATTATATGCTGATGCCAGACTGTTATTTGCTTTGGAAGAACATATAACAATATAATATCTTTCTTTATGGTACTAGTCCTTAAAACCTCACCAGTTTATGTAATACCAAAATTTAGAAGTGGTGTATTAGGGTGCCACTGAAGCAGTAATTATAAATTCATAAAGCAAGAATAATGATACAGTTACCTAGGAATCTGGCGGTTAAAGCAGGCTAATTCTGGTGGCACCCTGTCATTCTCCCTCTATCCCCAAACCCCAACAGCCTTGCCCCACTTCTTCACAAAGATTTAATTGCAGGGAAGTAAATGGAGGCTGATTTAAAAGAAATTCATTACTTTTCCCAAATACACCACAGGGCATTCTCCTGTGTATACTATCAAGTTACATAAATTATTGAAGCTGAACTACCCTTGTCAAAGTAAATGAACAAAATACACTTCATAGCACAGAGTCCTTGATTTTATTACATTCATTTGCTAATTCACAAAACTCAGATCTGCAGTAAAAGAAGGCCAACAAATTGGTGCACTGTGAAGAACACTGAACTGGGAATCAGACCACCTGGATTCTAGCTTCAGCTCTGCTGTTAACTCGCCAGGCAACGTTGGACAAGTGCCGTAGTCTCTTTGGGTTTCCAGTTTCTCGTTTAGAGACACTGATCCCTAAGGACCTTCCCAGCTCTAATGTTGGTGGGGTTTCCTACTTATTCCTATATATGTCCTGTATATTATCCTAAAGCAACCTTATGCCATTAACTTAGCTCCATGCCATTTTTTTAAAAATAAAACACCCCCCATTCAAATATATTTGCTATTCCAGTTCCTGGACTTCCGTTCTCTCTTGAGTTCTTTTGAGTCAAGCTTTTGCACCCAAGAATTCAAAACTGCTGGTTTTCGTCTCTAACCATTGGTCTTTCCCCAGCCCTCATCTTGATCCATGAGTATAATTGGACGCAATTAACCACCATCTCCTAGTAAGATTTTCTTCACTTGGATTCCAGGACAGGACACTTTCCTTTTGCCTTCCTAAATATTCCTTTTCAGACTCCTTTGCGGGTTCCTCATCTGTCAGGCCTCTCGCTCTTGAGTGCCCTGGGGCTTAATCCTCAAATCTTTCTACCTGCATACGCTCCCTAGAGCCTAGGTGATCTCATTCAGTCTCACGATTTAAATGTCATCTATACACTGACAGCTTCTAAATTTCTACCTCCCGTCCCATCTTCCCTGACTCCAGACTTGCATATCCAGCCGACTGACTGCTCAGCATCTCCACTTGGCCATCTGGTAGGTGTCTCCAAGTTCACATCACCAGAAGTGAGCTCCTGATGGTTCCCCCAGACCCGCTCATTTTGTAGTCTTCGCTTTGTGAATAAATGGCCATGTCATTCTTCCAGTTATTGGAAATAACCCTTGACTCCTCTTCTTTTGTCACTTCCAAGCCCAATTCTGCCACAGACCCTGTTGGCGCTGCCTTCAAAACAGATCAGGAATGACACCACCCTCTCTTCTCCACTGCTATCACCCTGTCCCATGTCATGCACCGTCCTCTTTCACCTGTATTTTGACAATAGTCTTCTAACTGCTTTGCCTGCTTCTCTTCTCACTCCTTAGGGAGCCTTTCCTATTTCCTCTTTCTACAGTTTGTCTCTGCTTTTCCTCTAGACAAGTGCATGACTTACCCATTCACCTTTCTGTGGTCTCTGCTCAAATGTACCACACCTGGGAAGCCTTCACTGACCTGCTTCCATCCAGCACTTCCCATTTCTCTTCCCTACTTTATTTTTGTTCATAAGACTTGTGACTAGTTGGTATATTTGAGTGTTTATCATCTGTCTCCCCTAAATGGAATCTACAGAAACCAGGGGTTTTTTTCTTTCTGATTTATACAGGATTCTGAAAGCCTAGAACAGTATGCAGCTCAATAAATATTTCTCCAGTGAATGAATGAATGAATGTCACAAAGAAAGAGCAACATATGTCATTTCCAAATTCAAGTTAATTGTTCTAGATCAAAGAAATATGAGAGATCAACTGAGCTGTGGTTCAGAGGGGAAGGCCAGCTATCCTGTCATATGTGTATGTAAATCAGTGTGAGTGTGTATGTGTGTGTTTGGCTGTAACAACTTGACGTTACAGAGACCAATGCACACCATGACGTTCCGTGCGCTGGACATCCAGCATTGCATTTCATTCTCCAGATTTTAAAAGAAAAGTTTATAAATACACCTGTAAATACATAAATGAATTTTTTTTCATTCTGTCCACAGTGTCTTCTATTTTTACCGTCCCAAATGTAAGATTGCAACCAGAAGCTGGAGAAAGCATGCGGGCCTTTGGGAAGAACAATAGCTATGGCAAAAGTCTGTCGAATAGCAAGCACTGATGCGCACTGCGTTCTCAAGAGAGCACAGGTAAGCTGACCTGCTTTACCTGCAGAGTGACAGTGAAAAGATACTGAGTCGATCTTTCCAATGAGATATTTCGGGCTTATTTTTTTCCCAAGAATCCTGTGAATCTCTCATGTTCGTTATAGCATTCATTACAGATTCTCCTGAAGCAGAGTACTGTCAGTCGTTCCGTATTAAGCACTTGCTGGATTCTAACCAAAATGTTATTTTATTTATGTAGTTATAAGCAAACCGTTTTAGTCGTAAGCGAATCATTTCACTATTCACACATTCTTCGTTGAGGTTAGAAAAAGGTTAACCTCACATGACATCCGAAGCCACAGATCTACTTTCTTTGGCCCACACAATTCTTTTAATTGGTCTCTTTCATTTTCAAATGGAGGAGATTTTACACAAAGTCTGGATTTCTGGCTTTTCTTGAAAAAAATCAGCAACTCTGGTAGTTCGGCACTCACCTTTCTACCAGAAGTTTGTGTGTGTGACTGAACTGTAGCCGCCTCCCTTGGAAGGGACGTGGGCTCCCTGCTTCATAGAGCTCAGCGACCACATGGACCACCTCACCCACTTCTGATTCGTGCCTGGCCCCTGGTACAGACTTTGTCTCGGTGAAGCTTTTCCCTCTTTCCTGTTCAGTTCTTTGACCTCTGCTATTCTGCACATGGAAAGCATAATCTAAACAAGACAATCTCTGAGCACATTAGCCTGTCCTGGTCATCACCCGGGCTTTACAGAAACAGGCAGAAGAGGTGGTTTCTGAAAAGGCAGTGTCTTTACAGCCGGATGGAAATGTCTGGGTTTTTTGGAATGTTGTGCCTACACACACATACGTATATCTCTTTTTTTTTTTTTTTTTGATGTTACATAACTCTGAAGCAAGTAGAGGACAAACTTTTTTGTGGGGAAGGCTTTTTATTTGATAGCCCATGTTTGTTACTTGTCAGTGTGGATGTTCAGTAATTAGATGTTGCAGTGAGTCAAAAGATAGAGGCAACATTGCAGGGCCTCCCCTTCCTTCCTCTCTCTTTTAAATTGAAATATGTTAACAGGCTGATCTGTCAGCAGGCAGAGGGAGCAAATTAAACTGTCCACCTTGTCTTGTGGGTGGTTCGCCAGTACTTTGAGCTGGTTTTGGACTTTGCTCATGCATACACTCACAATGGGGGCCACTAGTGGCATCTCAGAAGGAGTTTAGTGATCGATGGATGATTGGAGAAAAGCGTCCCAAATTGATAAAAGATGATGTGTTGTTGCCAGTTGGAAAATGCTGCCAATAGATTGGCCATACCACACCTGAGTGTAAGATTTTTCCTTCTTCCAGTTACTTCTCCCTGTTGGATTAAAAGTTACCTAGAAGCGCAGCTGTTCACCCAGTAGCATCTGTATTCTCACTTCAGTGGTCAAACCACGAGTGGAGCTGAGTTTTTGGTCAGTTACCCCTGGTTCTGAGAATGGTTTGAACTGACGAGGGTTGCAACAGATGTTTTGTAAAGTATTTAACCTGTGTTACCGTAATGAAAGCCCCTGGCTTTGTGGATTCCTTAGCCAATTCGGCAGAACAAAACAAAAAGTGGACTTTATTTGTGCTGCTGCCTCTTGCACACACACACACACAAGCAAGCTTGAATTTCAGTCATAGTGCTGTGTTCTTTCTTCTCTGCTCTTTTTGAGATCTCTCGACCTAAGTCTGGCCAATCAGACCTGCTAGAAAGTTTCAGGTGAGCTTCCCCTTGTGAATCAAATCCAGCTCACTGGGCAAAAGTATTGCCCTTAAGGTCTCAAAAATTGCTAAATGGAAAGAGATTTTAAAGAGCTGCTCGGAACTACAGTCATCACTATTCAAAAGTCTTTACAAAAATGTTTTTTTCTTTGTAGTATGTTTTTTAAAGTAGATTTAAGGTTATATCTGAAACCTCTTCCTTTAGAATTATTTGAGAATAATACAAATATGTTCTCTCTGAATTTTGTTTTTTTCACATCAACTTTTACAGCTTTAATATTATTTTGTTTTGTTTTGTTTTCTTCCAAATCCAAATAACTCAGTTTGACTCACCATTATATTGAAGAAACATCTAAGTTTTTTTCTCAAGAAAGCTGCACAGAAGCTGGATTTTTAGAATTTTCTGTCAGAAGAAAAAGAAATCATTTTAATTTTTCACCTTTGAAAGGTTTTAGTTTTAATCAAACGGGGTCATCTTAGAGGTCAAATAATATATAACCTGTAATAGAGCGTAATACATCGCACAGAGTGAAATTTATCCTGACCAGTAGCTGAATCTCAATGTCTACATTGTAGACATTATAGAGCAAACAGTCTGTGTATTTACATAAGAGTATTCCTAGGGAAAGACATGTACTTCCCTAGATTTTAATTCTGTTGTTGATGAATTAATTAACTGTTTAGAGTTGACTGTGACAGCTTAAGTTTTCCTCTAGTGTCCCACTTCTTTGTAAAGCCCAGAGAGATTGGGAAGGAGAGGAAGAGGGGAGAGGTGAGAGGTTGAGGGCTCGAAGAGGGAGGCTAAGACTGTCACGGAGCATTTTAACCACCTCTCTTTGGAGAGTCACACAGAGGTAATTGTGGAAAATGCGTTGTATCACTTCTGTTTTTGAAATGATGGAGGACTCAGTAGACAGGAGTATTTCGAGCTCTAATTTTCCCCTTATACCACAATGCAAGATTGTTTCTAAACGTGCATACTAAGGCCACTTCAACTCTTTAGTTAATAACTCTGGATTTGCATAAACTGACCTTACTGGAAAAGCTAATAAGAAGCATTTTTCTTTGCAGCAGAAAGCAATTTTGGTTTCAGAGTCTTATAGCCAAATTAAATGAAAAGAAAGCCACATGCACCTAAGTTTAAAAATGGGGTAAGAGCCACTGGATGATCAAAATACTGTGCTTCCTACATTTTGTTATCCTCTAAAGATATGAATAGACTGCAGATTGCAGAGATTGTCCCCACCCTCTTTATCAGCTTTGAAGGATGAGTCTTTCCTAAAGAGAGCCTTAAATGTGCATAGAAATTTTCCCCAAGGAAAGGACCGGAGACTCTATTGAATATCACATCCATTAGTATCACTCATATTTGCGCACAGCGATACCAAATACACCCACATGCTGAGCTTAATTTTCCAGTCATTCTAAATTGAGACAGGAAGTGCACAGTCACTCTGTCTGCTTCTCCCTTTGCTGAATATAGGTATAAGAATGGCCTCTTTCAGACAGATGTTTTATAATTTTCCTGAAATAGTATGTGCTCATTATGGAATATCTCTTTGTGATGAATCAACTGGTCTTCAGACCCTATTAAATTCTTAATAGATATACAAATATCTGTCTAGTGCATGAAAAAATTTGTATTTGGTTGAAGAGCAAGAAGTTAGCTGCATGCATGTTTTGGTAACCCTCTCCTTGCTTTATAGTATAGTTTCTTTGCTAATCAACATTGTCAAAAGTGTGGTAGACTCTCTTTGCCTGAGTCAGTCATCAAGCAATAATTTCCTAAAAGTACACTGGCAGGTAAACAGTAGGATGCATAAATTGCTCAAGAATTTTAATTAAATAAGATAAAGATTTTTTTAAAAACCAAACTTCAGACAAAATATAATACATTGGTGCTTAAGACTCTCTGGCATCAATATCTGAACATTCATAGAGCAGTATTCACACACCCTGGAGTGCCAAACCCCTGGCGAATTTTTTAAAATCCAGGTTCCTGATGTTCATGAATCTGCATTTTAAATAACTGCAAAGGATGTTCACACAGGTAACCTTTGAATTATGTACTATGAAATCTTAAGTAAATATTTAGGAATTGTATATTTATGAAGTAAAATAATCAAATTTTTTGGGCCAGGACTGGATAAAGACAAGAAAGGAAAATCCATCCCTTTTTCCCCTTCTTTTTTTTTGAGGAAGATTAGTGTAGAGTTGTGCTTTCCAACAGGGTAACCACTGGCCACATTAGCTATTTAAGTTTAATTTTTAGTTAATTAGAATTAAATTACAACTTTGTTCCCTCAGCAGCAGCATCACATTTCAAGTGCTCGTTGACCCCACACGACTGGTGGTCCCATGGTGGACAGGGCAGACAGAACCTTGCCAGCCTCGCAGAACATTCTGCTGGACCACACTGGTGAAGAGCACTTCTCCTGCCTGCCTTTTAAAAGAGGAGTCAGGAAAATTAAACTGAAAATTAAAAATATATTTCACTTCTAGAACACAGCGACTTAAGCTTGAAACGTTTGAGGAAGAGAAACACTCAAGTGAGAGGGACAGAGGCGGGCAGTTGAGAATGACAGAAGGAGCCCTGCTGCAGGGACAGGAATGACCACGAGGACAGGCATAGGGGTCTCTCAGAGGAAGCAGATGCGGTGAGGTTTCTTTCCTCAGTTCAAGGCGGGCTTTGTCGAGCTTGCTTGGGGAAGTGAGGAAGACAGGCTGACATTCTCACTGCACCGCAGGGCCCACAAGGACCTCAGGGAGCTTTGTCCCTCAGGACCCACAGGGAGCTTTGTTTTGTTTGCCATCTCAGCCACCATCTCAGCGCTGGTCCCTGGCTCCCAGAGAAACAGGCGCCTGTTGCCCTCCGTTGTGCTGCGACCTTGTGGCAGCCGCCTTTTCTGTCTGTACGTCAACTAACACTGCTTTCATCTTCTCTTCTTCTCGTGGCTTCCGCTGACTCGTTTCTGCTTATTGTCGTTTCTCCCTGTCCCTTTATTTCTGGGGCAGTCTGGGCTGAGCTCTTTTCCTGAGATTCGACCCCACTCCAGAGCAGCCGTGGTGGGTGTCTCAATCATCATGAAGACAGAGCAGAGCTCTGAGCAAGGCTGTGGGGTCGGTCACCCCCATGAGCTGCGCTGGCTTGGGCGCTGAGGCCTGGCCCAGTCAGCTGAGCTGTGAACGTGGTGGCCCACCTTTCTTTAAAGGATCCCTTAGAGAGGGCTCTGGGCTTAGCAGTCTCTGAAGCTTCTACAAAAGCAAGCAGGCTAGCCGGAAGGGC